TCTAAACATTCGTACAACTTTGTATAAATTCATACACTGAATTGCCAACTTATAAAACTTTTTATTTAGTAATATTATATAAGTAACATTTTGCCAAGCGAATAAAGCATTTCTCTACTAAATTCAGAGGTTTTTACACATTATTATTTTCAAACAATGTGACTTAAAACATGCTAAACAGAGTCAGTGCTTACTTTTATGAGGTCATCTTTGGAATGAAATTGTGACGCAATAACATTTGTTCCGTCGGCCATGCGAGTCATGGAGACGTGCAGGCGGCCAGTGGCCAGAGTGTGTGCATTATCCGGCAGACAGCGCTGCAGTGTCATCTCCAGCCAGCCATAAATATTCACCGTGGGGCTCATAGGACCCAGGGGATGCTGCTTGACAAATCTAGCAAACTCCAAAAGCAGGTCTCGCACACGTCCTAGGAGAAGAAAGCCTGGGTTTAATGACTGCTGAGATTCATTTAATCACCAACTGATTAAACCTTAAGTTGGACCAGCTTCTGTATTCTATGTGAATAGTATCCCCAGCTGGTTGTTATCAGACAGGAGTGTCACTGATGTGCTCTCCTGCTGCTTTTGCTGTTGCGGCTCATCTGCTTTAAAGTTGGATGTGTTGTGTGTTTTGAGATGTTCTTCTGCAGACCAAAATTATATTTTTGATTAAGTGTTAATTTGATTTTCTGTGGTCTTTTTTTATAAGTATGTGGATTCTCTTCTGAACGCTGGCATTAACAAGGTATTGGTGCCCCATAGGGCTGAGCCTCACTGGATATTGTCTTTTTTCAGGTCATTCTCCTTACATCCTAAATTGTTTTGTGAGAGTTCCAGTAAATTGGCAATCCTTCTAATCTTTAAATGATCTCTTCAATTTGGCATGTCTAGACAGAGTTGCTATCATGTGATTGGCTGATGTTAGGATTAATTAGCACCAGATCAGTCCTATCTAAAAAAACAAGTGAGTTTAAGTATGAATACTTTTCCAGTTGAACTAAACCCTGGAGTAATATGGTTTTAAAATATTTTATATTGTTACAGTTATTAACTAATTTTATTTTATGTTGTTGCAGTGGTCTAATTTTATCTTTAGGACATTTTTTTCTATTTGAATTTTGTTGCAGTCAGGCTTATTTTTGATCAATAAATGATTAAAACGCCGTTTTGCATTTATGACAGGCTATTTAAATCATAGCACTGTTCAGAATGTATAATTTTATGAATTTATAGAAAATCTACTGTAAAATTAAAGCAAAAAATGTATGTTTGAATTACAGGAAATTTCTGTAATTTAGCATCTATTATTTTATGTTCTTTTTTTGGGTAGCTGTGGTGCTGAAAAAAAAACTTAAAATAATGGACATTAAACTACAGAAATTTCCTGTGATTTTTTTAAATTACAATAAATTTTCACAGTTTAACGTCCGTTATTTTATGGTAAATTTCTGTAATTCAAAGGCTGTTATTCTACGTTATTTTAGGGCTGTCCAAATTAGCGTGCTAACGCACGCGATTAATTAGAAATATTTAACCTGTTAAAAAAAATTAACGCAGATGTTGTTTTTAAAACTTTTTTGTTGTGGTCGACGTGTGTTTAACGTGCAAAGAAATATGGATAAAACCAAGGAAGCACTTTTAGAAGAAAAGTATGTCGCATCACCAGGCTGTCCAGCGTTTCCTCCAGAGTTTCATGCAATTTCAGGTGTTTCATTTTTAATCTTTAGACTTTAAATGCCGTTCAGCAGTTCACTCTCATTCAGCAACATATTGTTCATGCCTCGAGACAATTATTGGATGAAAATATAAAGTAAGGACTGCTGGAAGAGTGTTGTTTTAATGGAATTTGATGCCGCATGGTGAACGGAAAGAAAAACATTTTGGGACTCTGGTGATCCTTTAAGGTAATCAAAAATTGCTGCTTGCATGGTAGACTCTTAATTAGCATTATACTATTCATAAAATCAGAGTATTAGTGTCCATGTAAATGTGCTCAGTGAAAGTGCCAGATGATGTCAAAAACAGCCCATTTCTATGCCTTTAAATTGCATTAAAAAATAAATTAATTAAATTCCATGCGCCCTCAAATGTTTCATTAAGTTTGACATGTTTTCCCTCTACACGCAACTTTTGTAAAGCGTTTGCTTCACATTGCTGTGTCAGAATCCTTGCTTGTAAAATACAGCCATATTTAAGAATGCTTAGTTTAAGCAAATTTGATGAACACGATTGTGCGTGTTGATGAAACGCTGAGGAGGTTGAGGAGTCGCTCACCGGGTGTGTTGTACTGTGCGCTTCGTCTGTGTGTGCGTGTGCGTGTGTGTGCATGTGTGCATTTCCTAGCAACAAGAGCAAACGCCTGACATCGCTGACTGTGTCTAAAGAGTATCTTTAAAGCATTTGATATGTATTCTATAGTCTTTGTGGTGTCTGTATCCCTCAAAGCTGTTTAGTATTAAACGTTTAAAGATGGTGTGACCAAAGTCCCTGTAAGAAGTCTATAGTCTTTAGTACGTGCCTTTGATGTACCCCTTGGCCCATTGTCCCCTGATAATGCCAATAGACTGGACTGTCTTAGCAACTGGTTAAAAGTTAAGGAGGACTGAGCAAAATTGTTTCTACTTTATAAATAATGTTCTCAACTCGCAATAGATCTTTACAATGAGCACAATTGTTTGTATTCAATGCTTTATTATTATTATTATTTTCCAATTTCCATATTTGCAATGCCTGTATTTTGGATTTTTTATTTTTATTTTTTTTGTAGTCCACTTAGAATCCAACATGGAAATCCTTTTTGTTTCTTGTTGACATAGATTGTTTTGAAATTCAAATGGCACTTCCAAGCCCCTGTATTTCTCTAATAAATATTGTCACCTTAAAATTATGAGGTTCTATCTGAAATTTTTGTCAAAATTTAGTAATGGACATCCTTATTAAATGACAACTTATTTATATTATGGGATGTTTTTTTATAAGTTGTTTACATTTTAAGACATTTTATTTAAGAAACAAATGTTACACACATACTCTTTGCTATGGAATGCAAAAACTTTGAAGCTTAATATCTCACAATTTTTTTATTTTTATAATTATAATTATAAAATTATATTTTATTTAAGTGACGATATGGCCTTTCGTGATTAATCGTGGTTAATTACAAAATCAAAAGTGGGATTAGTTTTGTTTTTTTATCAATAGACAGCCCTAGTTTTTTCTGACACTCCAGCTTTCTTAAAAAAATAAAATTAACAGTTTTTTTTTTTTTAAAGGATTGTATAATCCTTTTTTGGAGCTGGTTTGAATAACACTGTAAAACTGATTAGTTTATTTTACTTTAAAAAAGTATCAAGTTAATTCACCTCCCCAAAATTGAAATCACCTCATAATGTACTCTCCCTCATGTGGTTTTAAACTTTTATGTTTGCTTCTTCTGTTGAACGCAAACAAATACACTTTAAGGAATGCTGGTTGCTGGCACCGACTTCCATACTAGGAAATAAAAATTAGCTCCAGTGACCAGCATTCTTCAAAATATCTTCTTTTGTGTTCAACAGAAGAAAGGAACTCAAGTTCTGAACAAGTGAAGGAGAGTAAATAATGAGAGATTGACCTATCACTTTAAAGCAATCAATTGACTTTTCTTTATAAAACGTTAGTAAACCCCTTTCATTTTAAAGCAGTTACTTTACATTAAAAAAAGTCAATAAACCTGTTACAATAAAAATTGAGTAAGTTAACTATATGCATAAGTATAAACATAATTTAAGTAAACTTCTTACAGCAGATTTACTCACCCAAAAATGTATTAACTATTTACTCCTCAAATTGCTAAATAAAAACTATATGATTTTGTGTACACTGATGAACGCAAATATATATATATATATATATATATATATATATATATATATATATATATATATATATATATATATATATATATATATATATATATATATATATATATATATATATATATATATATATATATATATATATATATATATATATATATATATATATATATATATATATATATATATTATTAATTTAAAAATATATATATATATATATATATATATATATATATATATATATATATATATATATATATATATATATATATACATTTTATATACA